AGTCTCTTGAACAGATGCCAGCTGCAGTGCAGACACACACACAACATATCTGAATGTCCCTGAAGGAACACATCCATCATCTGGATCCCCAGTCAAGCAAAAGACATCAGCAGCATGTTGGAGCCGATGGAACATGTTCTCTGTCAATAAACAGAAGCGCTGTCCTCAAATGCTACTTTCTAGTCACTGGTGTTGTTTGGCCACTGAAGTGGCAGGAGGGTGAAAAACTGTCCAGCCAACTGAGAAAATAGTTTTCCTGCTCTGTGCAGAGTGAATGGGAGAAACTTCCACTAAGCCGAATCCGGAAAGAGTTCAAGCTAAGCTTGATATGAAGATTTTTTTTTTTTAGAAAACCAGAAATTTTGAGGAAGTAATATCAGCTGTTTGAGTTAAGTATATTATAAGAGGACACCCAATATAAAACTTTACTCAAAACATGAATTGTACTCATGTTTCAAGATAAATACTCTTATCTTATTATAAAGAAATGGTGAACATAAACTTCTGCTTTTAATAAAATCATTTTCAGTTTCTAAGAAATCTATTTGACCTGAGGAGGGATTAAGTGTTCCACCTGACTTAGAAAATATGGCACATTTTCTAAAAGGTGAGCTTTAGAAAATTTGAATGTTTTATGAATAAAGTAGATTCCAACCAAAACTAAGAATGAGCATATTTGGAAGAAATGGTCCCATGTTTAAAAAGCCTTTATCATTGTGTTTTATTACAAATGTGACAAAACGTGGTTGATATTCTGCTAATGCCAAAAAAACACAATTTTGCAACTTCAGTGTTTCCATTAAATAAGAAATGCAATCAAAATCACATATAACTAAGTATGTTTGCAATATATGTTAAAAAACAAAAAACTTACTGCACTTTTCATCCTGCAACTATTCCCTTTTCATCTTCTTCATGGTTTGCACCAGTGACAACATTTGTCTGCTGATCATGTGATTCATGTGATGCTAAAAGAAGTGTTTTCATGCCAGTTTTACAAAGTAAATGAATTTTGTTATGTAAAAAGATAAATTAAAAATAAACAATGCCCAGCACAAAAACTTTGTATCAAAAAGTGTTTTTTTTTAAGTGACATGTTTCGAGTAAGCAAATTTGTTTTTGAAAATGTCAAATTGCGCAATTATGTGGTCAATGGAAATGCAGCTTATGACAGGATTTAAACATTAAAAATAATCAGTTGCCCCCGCTGGTTGAGAAACTCAGTATTTCTGACCTCTTATGTGGCTTTCAGCCCAAGAATCTGACAGGTTTATGCTGTAGAGTGAGCTGCTGGATGTTTTACTGCCAATAACCACACTGGACCGTGGCTGGAACTAATCTGTGCAGCAATGAGGACAGGGCTTCTGCTGGTCACACCGTCCTGTGGGGAAAAAGGCCATGAAATCACAGATTCGCCAAAGTGGAAACTATTAAGGTCTGAAAACTGTTGTGCTGTGCAAATTTCTCCCAGAAGTGACTCAAACATTTTTGAATTATTAAAGAGGATGCCATCTTTGAATCGCTTGTAATCTTTTCCACTCGAAAGGCAGACAGCGGCAGACAAAGTGGCTTTGCTGAGATGCTCTACAAAAGGTTTGTCATTATATGGGACAGAGGCAGCAGGGCTCTTCACAAAGCGCTCCCAGGCTCTATGCATAACAAAAGAACTGTATCCCGCACTTAAATCAAGCTCTCAGCCTTTTGGCTCTGTCTGTAGTTGTAACCAGAAGGTTACTGCTACACCTTTTTCAGCACAACAAGAACATAGTCAGAGCAAATATCCCTGTCCTGACATAATGGTAAAGTCATAAAGGACATAATGGTGTAAAGATATGTGCAGCACACAAGACAAGTCACGATACTGAACTCAAGAGATTGAAGCGTTTTTTGTTTCAGCAAAACTCAGAATCAACACTTATTTTCACTAAAAGAATGAAAGTTTCACAAAACAATGTTTTTCTATGTACAAAAAAAAAATCTACATGGTGATTAAAGGCTGAATATAAAGTGTCTGGTGTTCATATCTAAACCACCACTTAATCATGAACATAGAAGCTACTGAAAATGTCAGCTTCTGGTACAAATGACCAAATCGTTACACGCGTTTTATCTCCCTGAATATGAAAACCTTTGGTCAGATGTAAGGGGTGTTCAGAATGTTCTGGTTCACCTGCTCAAATTGTTCAAATCTTGAAAGTTGACTTTTTTTGAGTTTTCTGATGGAAACGAAACAAGAATGCCCCCTGGGGTTTAAATTTGGAACTGAAAAGTTATTGAGGTCGACATATTTGAGAGGACACATGGACCATGCATAGTGTTACCATGATAACCACTCATTTGGTATTTTGTTTGGCATCATTTATTTAAAAAAACAACAAAACATACTTATAAGCTATTTGACTCATTCTGGCTGTTGTTCTCACAACAAGGGCTTTTAATAAGGATGGTGGCAGCAGCTGTTAGCACTGACCCAAGCTGGACAATGACTATTAGTATTTGTATTAATAATTAATACAAATAATAATAATTTGTATTAATTATTAGTACAATAATTACATATAATAACATTTATATGTAATTATATGCTAAACATATAATAACATTTAAATTATTATGTTTAAAATAATAATTTTAAATTTGAACATAATGTCCATAATATAAGTAGGCATGAAGTGGTTAATAGGATTAATTGTTATAAATCAATTATTGAAATAACTGTCAATATACTTAGTGATTAATCGCTAACATTTAAATTAAGAACAGTCCACACACATCACACGTAAGATAAAAACAACTTTGTAAATGTGTAACCCAAAACTCAAGACATTTTATTGTCTGCCTCCCAGACAATAAAATGTTTATGATTTTAAAAAAAGGAATTTAATTATTGGTTTATTTGCATGTTTTATGTATTTATAATATTGCTTAAAAATGGCTGAAGTGGCTACATGAAAAATCTGTAGAGTACACACATTTTCTTCATCCGACTCATCATCAGAATAATCTATTCCTACAGTAATCAGTCGGAGCTGCTGATTTGCAAATTAGCATTACTAATAACTACAGTTACAACAGCAGGTCTGTTCAGTACTTGGAGGTAAAATAAACATATTTTCTGTCCAACACTTGGTTCTTGCAATGTCATTTTGCAAAACACAAAAAACGACAGAGAAAAAGAGAAACAAATCTTTTTTTCTAGACCTTCCACTGCTTTACGTTTTGTGCACAACCACAGACAGGAACGTGGTCTGGATGTGTCAGACAGACAGGAAAAACAGCTTTTCCCTGCTGAGTCCCCACACGTCAGATAATCCAGCAGACTCAACACTGTTAATCCCTGTTCAGATGGGATTCAAAGGGATTCAGTGAGATGTGGGGGAGCCACTCTCCAGATCTGAATTGTGGCTCACGACTGCTGACAGTAACGAGAGTGTGTTGCAACAACACCTGCGGCCCACAGGTGTTGTTCAATAGCCGTAGCAATCAGCACGATTTGCGGAACCTTAAGTGCACAAGGTGTAGAACAAAAAAAAGAGAAAAAAAAAACATGAACAAAACAAAGTGAGGGATCAGATATCAAAATGCAATAATTTGGAGCTGTCAGTGACTCTCAAAGAACTGGAAGCAGAGATGTACACATGACTGGAAGAAGAAAAGCTGGATTTGCCTTCTGATCTTAGCTCAGCGCTGCAGAGCAGATCTCATCCAACACCACATGAGTCATCTGGATAACCTCAGACTGATCTGACACCAGTGATATGAAGGCCTTTCGCAGAATGACTCAGATATCAATAAGGTAAATGCCATTTGAACTGTGCAGGAAAAGAAATGTCTGAATAAGCTTTTCCCCAATTAGCCATGGCAACGAGAATGCAAACAGGTGAAGGGAGATACAACAAAACCTGAGAGGGGCTGAGATACATCAGGCTGCAAGTTAAAAACAAATAATGAACCACTAATGAGCATCACATTATATATATATATATATACATATATATATATATATATATATATATATATATATATATACACGTATACACACACTTCTGCTGACTCAGCATAGAGGCATGGTTTTCTAGGAACAACCTCTCATCAATAACACTGCAGTTTACACTGATCACACTTACAAGTTTCATGTCAACTCACTATTTATTTAGTTTGTTTTGTTTAAAAATCATAGTAAAAGTCTGTTGCACTGTGACTGCTCCTTTACACCAAGATATTATGTTGCTTCTGCTCGCAATTAAAATAACTGTTTCAAACAGGAAGGTCAGAAAACTACTTTAGCTGCTTTAGTTCTTATGTCATGGTTCTAAAATAGACTCTGAGTTTGGAGTCTTACAAACCCAGAACTCAGAAAGTGACCACAAACATGGAAACAGAACTTCTGCTCTCACCTCTGGGAGAGAATTTTGCACCGGAGTTTGAAGATTTGATCCAATTTGTTGGCGTCCACAGAAAGAAATATTTTCTCTAATTTTACTTTCATGACCTACTGGATCTGAATTACACAGCAACTGGATGGATTTCAACTGTTTGCAAATGTAAGTGTGTATTTTGAACTGGACAGAGCGAACCGGAATGAAAGGGATCTGGGATGTAACAAAACGGAATGGCTGAAGCAGGACACCACTGAACCATCAGCAACAACAAAACAACAGAAATATGTTTGTTGTTGTTTTACACACATCCTTGCTGGGGATGTTGCCTGCAAGCTCCGGAACTGCTGCGTTTCTCCAAAGCCATTTTGAAGCCACAGTGTGCGTGGCAGAGCTTACTGGTTTTACTGGCGCTCGTCACGGCAGCTGGTGTCCAGCAGGTGTAAAACATCAGCAGCAAATGAACAAAACGAGGGGCCCGCATCTTCACTGGCATGCAGAGACTTTTCAACTGACAAGCGTTCATGTTAAAGTTCCAGGGTTAGTGTTGGACACTCCGCAGCGCTCCCGCACACAGCGCTCCCGCACACACCACGCGGGGTTTTCGGCTCCGACACTCACCGAACTTTTGCGGCCACGGAAGAAATCGCGTCACTCCTCAGGTTCTTCCTTTTGGACACCGCAGTTCCCATCCTGAAGTGGAAACGACCCAGAGAAGAAGATGCAGAGCATTCCACAAACTGACCGGCGGCAGACAAAAAGGAGAAACCGCGAGATAACGGGAACGTAAAAAAATAAAAGAAAATAAATAAATAAAAGAAATCCCAGGGCACCCAGCGAATCACGACTTTTACCTTCACATGTTTGATCTGAGTGCGTCTGTGGGGCCGCAGACAGGGTCAGGCAGCTGCGGGTTTGGCTCACAGCGCAGCAGTGAAGCTGTGAGGTGTGCCGCGCTTTGCTCTCCTCTCCTCTCCTCTGATGCATCTGAAGCTTCAAGGAAGGAAGCGACACCATAAGAAGAGAAGCCGCCTGCACGCACGCTGCGTGCCGCGAGAAGGTGCGGGGTGGGCAGCAACTGCGGAGCAAACACGCAGGTTCATCCCGCTGGTGTGATGCGATGCAGTGGCGGTTTTTGCACGGATGATTTCCCTGTGCTCCGAAGCCCCCCTTTTGTTTTCACAAATAAATGTCCCACCAAAAACGCATACTTTCACTCCACACATTTTCAATGTGTGGTTTAGTTACTCGTTACTGTGACGGAGGAGCGTCACGAGTAAGGACCTAATTAAAGAGTTAACGCACACAAACATACACAAACACACACAATCGCTATTTTGTTGCAGCTTGGACTGGCGCGGGTCACGCGCGGTTCATCGCGGGTCACGCGCGGTTCATCGCGGGTCACGCGCGGTTCATCGTATTTGGAGAGGTAGCTATAGCTACTTTTACTTGACTCTGAGATTTCAGTAGGCTACTTTAAACAACACTATATATATGAATAGAGTATTTCAGTCCAACCCATATAACTGAAGTTTAAATTGGCAAAACAGATCAAAGTTTTCAGAATATATAAACCAATACATTAAATGATTTTGAAAATCTTTTATGTTTATATATTTCCATACAATTCAAAAATATGCATCCAAAATGAAAACAATATGGCAGCTACATATTAGCACAGAACCAATATATAAACAAATTCAATCAATGTTTTTTTATTTATTTATTTGTTTATTTTGTAACCATCAGCCCATTTTAACCCTCTCCAGGCAGATGTTGTATTTGCAACAGCTCAGTGCTACTTAGCTGGACTTTGCAAGCAATTTGAGCCTGAGAGGGTTAATTTCTCATACAGAGACAAAAACTTACCCAGCTTTCTGACTGGCCTCTACGAAGCAGCAAACCCTGAGGTCCAGTCTGTGGATCAACAGAGGCAGAGCCCAGAACACAGGAGCAGCTCATTTGACTTTCATTACCAGTCCCATCATCATGTCTATTGACCAGAAAGCCAAGGAGAATATATTTTCCCTTCTGTGGAAACCAAATCAACTCCATATCAATATTCAGACACTGTAATAATAAGAGCGAGAGAGAGGCAGCATCCTGTATTATTATTATGAAAGCATTTGAAATACATAAGTTGGAGATGACAGTGTGCAGTGTCTTCATGGGTTTCTGCTGAGTGTGTCCACATGTCAGAGGACAGCACAAAGACATGCTGGGGGCAGAACCATGCTGTCATCGCTAATCAAATGTCAGATGTGAAAGAACGGAGATCTCAGCTGAAAACTGCTGGTTACATTCACAGTCATTATGTGCATCTGCCCACCTACACAATGATGCACATATATTTATCATTAAAATGTATAGAAATTTGTGTTTGGTTGATTATTTCTTTGTTGTAATGATGTTTCTTTGCAAAACATTTTATGCTTTCTTATTTATTTTCCCATTGGTGCCAAATGTCTGAAGAAAGTGAAAGAGTTGAGCAGCAGAGTTGATTTTGTGGTAGCCTGGCCATTGCCTTCCTGCACTGTTAGGCTTATTTTAAATTCACAGACAGTCTCACAGGGCCGTGCAGAGATCTTTGGAGGGGCAGGGAATCAAAGTTAAAAGAGGGCACACAGCGGGAGCAGACATGCCCGAAAATGTCAGAGTACCATTGCAATTAGTTGATGTATTGATGAACCAAGCATATATTTGAGACTTAAGCACTTACATTCTCGCCTAAAATTGTTGGACCAAATTACGTTGTGTCATTTAATGTGGAAAATAGCAAAATAATTTGTCGCTCTTTACCGCCATTGATGTTCTGCTTGAACGCCTGGTTGGGACCTGCAATGAATTTTGAGATATGGTGGGGTGTGAAGGATATACCGACACATCCTTCAAATCTGGGGAAAAGAAAGACGCATTTGAAGGAGTCTGAATTCGGAGAGGCCTTGTCACCACGCTATGACGAAATCGACCTACAAATCCATCCTTCAAAGGATGCAGACCCTGAATTCAGACACAGCTAATAAAAGTGTGGTTGTCAGAGGACCGCTCTACTTTTGCCTGGGGGCGGAGCCAGCGTCATGTCAATTCTGTGTGTTTCAGTTTGGTTAGAAAATAAAAAAGGCGACATAAACACCAATTCTGACAAATCATCAGTCGAGCGGTAGGTAATCTACCACAGTGATCACTTATTAATAATCACAAAATAAACATCAAGCCATAAAAACATAAAACTGTAATGGACTGGATATTCTGCTTTTTGTGTGGCGATATTAATATTACTATTATTATTAATACAGTTTTCAGACTGAGCTGTCTGAAAACTCTCATAAGGGCCTGATAAAAACATGATTTTAATAGTTAAATATTAAATTTAGATTGACAATGGTATAGTAAAACCATGAATTTAAGTAGCATCATTCTATCAGGTTTAAAATTTGAACAGGGTTAAAAATGAACAAAATATTCATTCATTGGTATAGCAAGCAGAAGGAGAAGTTGTGAACGATGATGTTGACATTTTTTGCACTGTTTTAGAATCGTAGTTGCGGAAGTGAGCGAAGTCGTTCAGGCCATGTTGGCCACACTTTCAAATGTGAACGTAACATTAATAGCCGCCTCTTTAGCCATTCAGAGGGTCTCCATCCATTCCCTATGGAGGATTGTTGTTTACAGTGCTGACAGTTTCTGGTAAGCTTCATAATGTTGAATTGGGTACATTTGTAAAAATCGACACAGTCCAGGCCTTCCTGAAGTAATCGTTATCCAATAGCTGAGAGTCCAGATCTTCTGGATGAAGCGTAGAACAAGAGGCTGCTTTTTGTTCCAAGCTAAGTTTGTGAGGGTGCCCCCATGAGGAACTTGTAAAATCCTACATGCTGATGCCAGGCAACTCATTCTGCTCTTCACTGGAATCGTAGCTTTTATCTTAGCATCTGTCCCTGTCTCATGTTGAGAGAGCTTAATTACCAGAACAAAGCTAACACTCATTACTGCAGAACTGCTACAGTTTGACACTGATGGCCAATCAACAAGTCCAACTATTATTGGGTTCAACTTGTCAGTTTCATAGATAACTGTTAAACATAACACATATGTGACGGTTACATTACAAGCACAGCTTCCTGCCAACTACCCTTATCACATTAGAGCAGTTACAGGAAAAGTTCTAGATATGGATATGCAAGCATCCACCACAGCCTTATGCATCACACCTGCCTGACCTCCTGCACTTCATTTTATGTTAGGTGATGGTAATTTCTCTTTACCAAAGAATCTGCTGTTTTCCAGACAAAGACAAGTGAACTCTATCGATTATGATTGAGCAACCAGTATTTCAGAAGCATAGTTTAATTTATTGCATAACCTTGTGGCAAACCTTGCTGACACTGAAGCCCTACTGAAGCCCTATAAATAAATACCTGTGAGGTGCGGCATGGCGTGGTGGTTACAGTAGACACCCTGTACAGAGGCTGCAGACCTGGACATGGCTGACCTGAGCTGGACTTATGTCCTCGGTTCCTTTGTCACATTTCTTCCTCCTCCTTCTCTTTGTCCTGCCTGATAACTGTTAAATAAGCCCACTTATGTCTACATATGTTAGAAACACACATATGGCGGCATGGCTGAATGTTTGGTGTCCTGATATATTTTCAGTGTAAGAAAATGTCTAACTGAAAATTGCAGATGTAATGGAGTACCAGAGGGTGAAGTTAATAAATCACAAAGTGGTTTTTCCCTCATGCATATCCAGTTCCATTATGGATCATAAAGCATCCATTATTCACATAATGGAAAGTGTGAGAGCAAAATGTGAAACTGCTGTTTGAGATCTTAAACCCATTTTAATATGAGCGAGAAATTAATTGAACCGCGTTCTGAAATCATCATAGAAATAAAAAGCCAGCAGCTGTCAAGCCAAATATGAATGAATCAAACAATCTTCATAAATAAAATTATGCATTTATTTACAGGTTCCCACGGTGAAGCTCCGGGGAAGTTCAGATTTTTTTTTTTTTTGCCAAATCAAATAATCTAGACCTCACAGGCAACAATAAACCTCTCACACTAAAAGTGACAAATTTTCCACCTAACTAGAAAACAAGAAACTTCACTGCTTGCACAAAACAGTTTATATTATTGGTTGACACTGAGACTCCTCAGGAGAACCTGCAGCAGTGACGGGCCCTCTGGCAGGATGGGAAGAACCGCTACCTGCACACTTCTCTTTAAGGAAACCATTGCTGGCCCCAAAAGACAATGATTTCCAGTTCCATGATTTCTTCTTTCATAGCCACCAGTCTGCAGCTGGACTCTTCCAACAGCGGATTTACTGGGTTTAATTTCAGAGTCAACCATTAACACTCAACAGTTACCAGGATATCTGTACACCATTTAAAATAAGGTTTTAGGGCATGGCAGTGGCACAGGGATAGAGCACCTGACCCAGGTATGCAGCTATCCCACATTGGAGTCCTGGCCAGTTGACCTCTGCTGAATGTCTGCCCCTTATCTCAAAAGCTGCTTTCCTGTCCACTCTCTGTCAAATAAAAGCCCCCAGAGTCAAAAAAAATACTTACAAAAAATTAAATAAGTTTTTATTCACAGATGGTTTGGCTGAGGGAGCAATGTGAGGGATGCTGGGAAACCGAAGCCAGGAACATGGCTGCAGATCCATCACTAAATCACACCAAGTCACTTTACACACTCTCAGGAAACTGGAATAAAACTGACATTAAATTCTGATATCCATGTCTAATTCTTGCACTTGTTTTATTTTCTCATAAAAAAACAAAAACAAAACAAAACTCAGATTATAAGAAATGAGTGTGCAAGAAGTGATCGGTTCCAACAGCTGCCAGCAGACAGGAAATGGTTTGAATCTGCACCTGAATTCAATTTTGTTAATTATTCTTAGAAAGAAATCAAAGTGCATTTCTCTTGCCTGCAGTTCAGCCTCAGAGCACACAGACAGAAGCAGATGTTCCCATGTAAGTAGTGTCTGCTCTGCTCAGGCGGCCTTGGATAGATCTG